AATTTAAGATTTCTTGGAAGACGAGACCCCGAAAATCACGACATTGAAGCGCGTGAGCTCCAGGAATTTTCCTGTGACGCCACGACGCTCTTGACGGAGGACGGAATCGAATATGGGGCAAAATGTCACTCTTGAGTGACATTTGCACATTCGAGTTCCTCGTCCATTAATTTTCATTTATTATTCTGAGGAGATTCGCCGAGATCATCGCATTGGAATTAACCTAGCCTTCAGATCCTCCAGCACTCCAGTTTCTGGACGATGCGGAGAGATCGTTGGCCTGGACTCTTCGGACCTCCCATTCCCTTCGTGATAACCTCTCTCTCAAGGTCAATTCACGTACTCTCACTCTCGGGAACTTAATTGAATTTAATTTTGTTGAATTTAATTGAAATTAATTTATTTTATTTATGAAGAATAGAAATTCTATTTGAGTTGGAATATTATTGAGAAATTGAATAAATCACGGAGTAAATTTAAAGTAATTCTCTCATCCCCTATTTAATTAATTTTCTGATTCTTCCTTTTGATTTTTCTGTATCTTTTGGTAAATTCGCAACATCCTTCCTAAGACCGAGCGACCGATCCTACCCCGCTCTCCGAATACCTCCGAGCTAGTCGAGCTAATTCCACAACCTCTCCCTTGATCTCCCCAATTATGGCTGTTTTCGTATGGTTCTCTTTAATGCGGTTCGTTGACACTGCTGGAACAAAAGTCAGCTGGCGCCCGACAACATTTTTCTCCTTTTCCCGTTTATTTCGTTTATTCGGTTTTCGAGGATTGTCGTGGGGGATATCGAGGAGTAGAGGCTGAAGGTGACAACACTCCGGCTGTTTTGAGTTTCGCATAGAGTTATGGATAAGTCTACGGTTTATATTTTAAGTTTTGAGGTTCACGTTGGTTAGTGCCATCACAGACTTCAATACTCGCCAATTAGATACAGTCTCGGGTACAGAATCTCCACTCCGACCAACGTGCTGATTGCCGAGAGTAAGCTCCCATTTCTGGAACAAAGACCACTCTTTCTTGGCAAAACATACAGAATGAAAACCATGTCCAATGATACTTCTCAGGTGTCGTCATCTCTCAAAATACTGGTCTCCGGTCAGGGTCGTCTTAATTCCCGGTCCAGATTGATGAACAAATGTATTGAGAGCATATCCCATAATATTCCATATCTAGATGTCAATGATCATTTCAATATGTACCTGTACGACTACCCTGTCATTATCTCACACTCCGCCGGAGACTCAGATAAATCAGAAATCTTGCCAGTAGTTGAAGATATTATTCCAGATGCTATTCACATTTATACAGATGGTAGCAAGAAGTCAAATGGTATATCTGTTGGCGCTGCGTGCTTTTCCCCTGAGCTCAACATTTCTCGTAGCTTCAGTATTCATTCTCAGGCATCTGTATTCACCGCAGAGTGTCTCACAATTGACGAAGTAATAAAAATTGTATTATCCGCGCCCGATAAAAATTATCAAATTGTTACAGACTCTCTCAGCGCTCTCAACTCTCTTACGCAAATAACCGATCATATAAAGACCAATAAACATATCCTTGAAGTTAAAAAAAACCATAAACGTTTCACTGAAATCAATAACAACTCGAAATTTATCAAATTCCGTTGGGTTCCGTCACACACGGGAGTTGTGCACTGAGAAAAAAATTTATTCCTTCCAAGAAAATGTTATTGGTGATATCTTTTTCATACTCTTAGTAGAAGAAAATATCTCTTTTGGAACGTATTTCTCCAGGCCAGTCATTTCCAGGTGCTCCGAAATCAGTTCCAAGCGTGACAATTATGGTGGTCTATAAGAATATTCTTCTGCATATGACCTCGAAGAAACTCCAGTAATAATTATTAACATTTGGAATTATTCCAATTTTCTTTACCTGAGAAAATCGCCAATTTGTAAAATCCGGAAGATATCGGAGAACATTTTGTCAAGGTCACATGTAGCATAATATTCAGATTGTTCAATATCACTGTAATTTTTGAGGATAGACTTGGACTCTCTGAAAATGACTGTCCTGGAAAAATTCGTTCTGAACAAATATTATCTTCTGACGAGAATATCAATCCTTGGCAGGAATAATTTTTTCTCTCAGTGAGGGCAATGAAGAAGCTAACCGCTTAGCGGGGGAGGCCACAGAGCTGCCACCAGACGAAACAGTCCTTATTCCACATACAGATTTCCGCGGAGAATTCAAGAAAAACTCGCTTGACATTTCATTTAAAAAATGCATGAATGATGCCCCTCATAGAGGTAAAGATTACTTTCACAATTCCTATTCTAACAAAAGAAGACCTTGGTTTGTTAATCGCAAATTACCTTGTGACACAATATCAGGGGTGAATAGAGCCCGTGCGAATCATTACCATCTGGCTTCATCTCTCCAGCGTATAGGATTTGTACAATCAGCCAGCTGTAGATGCAATCACTCGAACGAAGATCTGGATCATGTTCTTTGACACTGCCCTCTCTATGAGGAGCACCGAGAATCTATGATTTGTGGTCTTCGGGCTTTAGGACATTCTCCACCTTACCAAAGTCGAATATTTTTGAAAAAATTGAAAAAAGAATGTATCGAAACAATAGACAAATTCTTAGTTAAATGTAATCTGAACATATAGTAAACTTATATTGAAACACGCCATGTACACCAAGAACAAACTTTCTGTAAAACGTCAAACATACTTGATATTCACATATGTTTACATGTATATATTTATATTTACTTTTGTAGCTTTTTAAACCTCAAGATTTCAGCAAGCTTAAATAAAAAAAAAAAAAGATTAACTATTCCAACAGTTAGAGCAGACCAGATTGGTGAGGTTAGGTCACAGCGATGTTAATAATTACCGACCTGTGCAGGAATTAAATAGCCGTAAATTTTCTTATTATTTTTATTATTTATTTATTGATTTCGTTTATTGCTTCTGAGTTGTTCCCTCTTAGCAAGGGGGGGGGGGGGCAGAGG